TTTCGTAATCATGGTATGCTGCGATAGCAAGTAAGATCCGAATGGATTTAATCATGACAACTAGAGAAAAAGTTTCGTCATAGTCGATACCATGTATTTGACGATATCCTTTTGCTACCAATCGTGCCTTGAAGGTTTGCACCTTACCATCCATGTCAGTCTTCTTTTTGAAGACCCATTTGCACCCAATGGGTTTGATTCCTTCGGGTGCATCAACCAAAGTCCATACTTGGTTGGTGTACATGGAATCCATTTCGGACTGCATGGCTTGACGCCATTCCTTAGCCTCGGGACAACTGATTGCCTCGAGGTAGGTCTCCGGCTCATCCTGGTCGATAAGCATTACGTCACCCTCAAAGGTTAGGAGGAATCCATACCTTTCAGGATGTGTGCGTAACCGGTTAGACCTATGGGGTTCTTGTGTATCTTGAGCATTTTGAGGTACAACAGTTTGTTCCTCTAGCTCATGTTCCAGAACCGGCGCGGTAGTTTCTTCGTCGTCTCGAATTTCTTCGAGCTCTATCTTTCTCCTGCTAGTTGCGATGGAGAGAAATTCCTTCTCGAGGAAGACACCATTGCGAGCAACGAATACCTTCTTATCGATAGGGTGATAGAATGAATACCCTCGAGTTTCCTTTGGGTATCCCACGAAGAAACACTTATCAGACTTAGCATCAAGCTTGCCATTCATCATAAGACGTTTGACATAAGCCTCACAGCCCCAAATCTTTAAGTGTGACAGAACCGGGCATTTGCCCGTCCATAGCTGGTATGGTGTTCCTTCAACCGCCTTGGTTGGATCTCGGTTAAGAGTATCAATTGAAGTGCTCAGCGCATACCCCTAGAATGGTTCTGGTAGAGTCGAATGACCCATCATAGAACGAACCATGTCAAGCAGGGTTCGATTCCTCCTTTCAGAGACACCATTCCATTGTGGAGTCCCAGGAGGTGTGAGTTGGGATAAAATCCCATGCTCTCTAAGATAGTCATCGAACTCACCACTTAAGTATTCTCCACCTCGATCGGATCGTAGTGTTTTAATACTTTTG